ATTATGAAAATAACATGTAATTGCCTGGCCAGTGTGGCTAAGCGGTTGAGCATCGACCTATGAACCAGGAGGTCACAGTTCAATTCCAAATTGGCACATGCCTGGCTTGTGGGATCAACCCCCAGCAAGGGGAGTGCAGGAGGCAGCCAATCAATGATTCTCTCTCATCATTGATGTTTCTTATCTTTCCCTCTCTCTTCCTCTCTGAAATAAAATTATATTTTTTAAATAAGAATAAATAAAAATAAAGAGGCCCTAGCTGATTTGGCTCAATGGGTTGAGTGTCGGCCTGCAGACTGAATGGTCCCAGGTTTGATTCTGGTCAAGGGCACATGCTAAGGTTGCTGGCTCAATCCCCAATAGGGGATGTGCAGGAGGCAGCTAATCAATGATTCTCTCTCATCATTAATGTTTCTATCTCTCCCTCTCCCTTCTTCTCTGAAATCAACAAAAATATATTTTTTAAATAAAATAAAAATAAAGAGGACAAGATAAACTTTTTAAAATATAGACTCTTTCCCATTAGTGATTAGTTGAATCAAACCAGATGGTGAAGGAAATCATATGCATTCTGGCTCTGGGGTACAGAAGTCATCTCTTGATGTCAGGTGAGAAAAACTGGGTTGTTGAGAGGGTATGTAATGGGGTGTTCAACACCATAATCAGACAATAGGTGGAGCCTCAGGATGGTGATTTGCTACATCAGGGAGGCTGCAATATTACACAAAGACACTAGAGGGAGCACATGAGTAGAAACTGGCAAACTCCTTCAAACAAATTATGCACACAAGGAGAGAGAGAGAGAGAGAGAGAGAGAGAGAGAGAGAGAGAGAGAGAGAACTTGAGAGATATCCAGAAACTCTAGCCTGGTGTGGCGAAAGTCCACTCTTTATGAAACCAGACAGTAGTCTGGGAGGCTTGGCTTATTCTCAGAAGCCAAAATCCCAAACATTACACCAAAGACAAAAAAACACAAGACAAACAGGCAACCACAACATGTTTGGATGAACCAATTACATCTCGAAACCATGCCCAAAGAAATGAAGATATATAACTTAAAAAGAAGGAATTCAAAATTACTTTCATAATGATATTCAGTGAATTAAAAGACAGAACAGGTAGCTAAAAAATGTCAAGAAAATGTGGCATGAAAAATGAGATTACCAATAACAACAAAAACTATGAAGAAGAGGCAAACAGCTATTCTGTCGATGAAGAACACAGTACCTGAATAGAAAATTTCACTGGTGGGACTAACCAGCAACTTGACCAGGCAGAACAAAGAGTGAGTCAAACTGAGAAAGGACTTTCATAGTTAATGAAATAGAGGAAGAATCAGAAAACAATGAAAGGAGCCTACAGGACTTAGATTTCATCAGATGAAACAACATATGCATTATGGGAGTTGCAGAAAGAGACTATTTGAAGAAACAGTAGCCAAAAATCTCCCAAATCTGAAGAGAGAAATGGATGTACACATACAGGAAACTTAAAAACTCTAATTAAGGTAAATTAAAGAGCCCTCCAAAGAAAAACCTTTTTTTCTTTAAAAACTACAAATGTGCCTCCCCCCCCCAAACACACACACACACACACACACACACACACACACACACACACTCTTTTCTCCCCTCCACCCAGCCCTGCCCCACCCAGGCCTTCTTAATCAAACTGTCAAAAGTCACAGTAAGTTCTCTTGCCTGAAGCCAGCGGCCGCCCCGGGTGGGGTGGGGTAAATTGGGGTGGGGGTGTAGCTTCTACACTGACAGTTTCAGGTTCTGCTGCTGCTCCTGCAGGCTCCCGGCTCCTGCTGGCTCCCGGCTCCTGCCCTTTGTCGCAACCGAGTCCAGTGGGAAACTGGGAACCACGTCGTGGCGGTGTGAGCAGAGAGGCCTATAAACACTGATTCCAGCCGGTGGAGAACATCAGGGCTGTCCCAGGGCCTGTACAAACAGACGAAATGGCACAGGATACAGCCACCTGAACAGGTTCTCCTTTCTTCCCACGATTTCTCTACTCCTGCTCCTTTGCCCAAGCTGCTCTCTGACTTTCACCGTCCCTCGAGCCAACAGTCTCTCTTTCTCTTGGATTCTCGCGCACCTTTGTGGCGTTTCTTCCTCGTGCGCCCAACGGCACCGCCCAGAAAACGAACTAGATGCCTTGGACAGGACCTGCGCCCTGACCCATCCTACACCTAGGCTGGCGCTCCAGCACACCCTGCCCTCCGAGCCCCCGCGCTCTGCGCGCCTCTAGCGGCCGTGCCTGGAAGTGCAGGGGCGGACTCACTGGGGAACAGCTGTGCCATGAGGTCAGTGAGGACCTTAGCCTCCCAAGGCCATTTGCTCCCAGTGCTGGTCGTGGCGTTGCTCCTGGTTGACTCCCTCGGCGAGGATTTCAGTTTTCACCCGGAGTGGGGGTTTGACTCATCTGAAATCACCATCCCCAGAAAGCTGAGCTTCCGGGGAGGGAAGCAGGGCGCGCCCCAACGCGTGTCCTACCTCCTGCAGGTGCAAGGCAAGAAGCATGTCGTCCACTTGTGGCCCAAGAGGTTTCTGTTGCCCCGGCACCTGCAGGTTTTCTCCTACACAGAACAGGGGGAGCTCGTGGAGGATCACCCTTACATACCCAGGGACTGCAACTATGTGGGCGTGGTGGAAGGAGCTGAGGATTCTGAAGCTACTCTCAGTACATGCGCGGGGGGTCTCCGAGGCATATTGAAAATTGATGCCAAATATTACCAAATCGAGCCCCTCGAGGCCTCTTCTAGTTTTGAACATGCCCTATATCTCCTGAAGAACGAGGGGGGATTTCAGGATCAGCTCTGTGGCGTCACTGGTGATGAAACAGAAGAGCAGATGGCCCAGCCTGGCATCATGGCTCGGTATAGTGACTTTGCTGACAGCGTTAAACACCAAAGGTACTTGGAGTTGGCCATGGTCTTTGATCACGATAGATATTTGTATTTGAATTCCAATCTTAGTCAAGCAATAGATGATGCCATTCTTATGGCTGGGGTGATAGATACTTACTATCAAGAGATCAGTCTGAAAATACATCTAAAAGGTGTTGAAGTATGGACAACTACAAACAAAGTAAGACTTTCATATGATAAAATAGTTTCGGCTTTAACCCAGTTTAGGGCATACAGAACACATGCCCTAAATTCTAAGATCCCAGCAGATTGGGAACACATATACATTCAAGGAAACTTTAGTGATCGCAATTCATGGCACTGGGGGAAAGTGTGTGGTCAGCAATTTGTCGGATCTGGAAGTGTTATTATAGATAGGGATCTCCTTTTACCTGCCATTTGGACTACTCATGAAATAGGCCATAGTGTGGGAATGGAGCATGACACACAGTACTGCCAATGTAGGGGCCAGCACAGTTGCATCATGGGCACTGGACGCACTGGGTTTAGTAATTGTAGCTACAACGATTATATAAACTACGTACGTCAAAAAGCAACATGTCTGACTGACATCCCAGGACTAGGGTTTGTGGTTAAGAAATGCGGCAACAAAATTGTGGAAGACAATGAGGAATGTGACTGCGGTTCGAGAGAGGACTGTGAAAAAGACCATTGTTGCGAACCAGATTGTAAATTCAAACGGGGTGCCACGTGTAGCACGGGACTTTGCTGCCACCAATGTCACTTCCGTCCATCTGGGTACATGTGTCGGGAGGAAGAAAACGAATGTGACCTTGCAGAGTACTGCAATGGGACCTCGAGCTTCTGCCCAAATGACACGTATAAGCACGATGGCACCCCGTGCAAGTATGACGCCCGTTGTTTCCAGAAGGGGTGCTGGTCCACATATATGCAGTGCCAGCGCATTTTTGGATCTGATGCCAGGGAGGCTCCAGATCAGTGCTACGAAGCAGTTAACTTAATAGGGGATCAATATGGCAACTGTGGTATCATTGCAGTTGCTCAGTATGAAAAGTGTACCAAGCAGAACTCCTTATGTGGCAGAGTGCAGTGTATAAACGTCCCAACCCTCCCTGACATGCCAGAGCACACGAGTGTGGTTTCTACTCATCTGCAGAATGAAAATCTGTTGTGCTGGGGCCTCGGCTACCATCCGGCCATGGTATCCATGGGGATTCCTGACTTGGGTGTAATCCATGATGGCACCTCCTGTGGCAAGGGCCAGATCTGCTGGAACAGAACTTGTGTGGATACTTCCATCCTGAAGATTGACTGTGTGCCTGAGAATTGCAATGACAGAGGCTTTTGCAACAATAACAGAAACTGCCACTGCGTGAACGGCTGGGCGCCTCCGTTCTGTGAGGACCAAGGGTATGGAGGGAGCGTTGACAGCGGGCCGCCGAGACAGGGGGAGGAGGAGGTGCCTGCCTCCTTTCGGATCGTGTACCTTTTGATGTTACGCGTTGTTTTGTTTGCCCTCTCCGTGGCGTTAGTGCTTCTCAGGGCGTTGATTGGAGATTTATTAAACCTCAAACAAAAAAGAAAACCACCTACTAACACAGAGATAGATACTTCAAGGCAAGATGAAGAAATTCAAGTAACATACAAAAGAACAAAGAGAGTAACCTGGAAATCCACACTCGTTTCCTAACACATGCTCACATAGTAAAGAAGCCTATTGTTTATCCAAAGGCTCCTAACTCTTCCTCCAATTCTTTTTTACTTACTTTTCCTTCTAGTTTTGATCAGCAAATAAATGATATTCTTGTTTGGGAGACAAACCAGTGCCCTTTGCTTGCCTAGTGTTCGCTTGGCCTAGTTGGTGAGCAAGGTTGGCGTGTCCTGAGAGGAATGCCCTGGTGGCTTTTCTGAACTCAAGCTCTGGATGGTGTGAGTCTCATGCAGTTACAGTGGCTGTCAGAGCAGAGTCCTGCCTCTCAGAATCCCAGCAAACAGAGGGGTCCTTTGCCTTTCCCTCGGCCTCCCTCGGTGTGGCCAGTGAGAATGCCTGTGTCTGGCCCCTGCTGAACAATCAATGGTGACCTCCACGGTTTACAAATGGGAAGCAATGCTCTACCAGGAGTGTCCCTCAGATAAGCTTTTCGCCCTGGATAGTCACTGTCTGGGCCACTCCAGCTCTATGGACGTGTGGTCTCTGACTCAAGTGTCTGGGTGACCTCAGTTGGGTTAAGGACACTAATCTACCACACCTCTGGCTTTGCACCTCAGTCTATAAATGATGACACACCCTGGTGCTGTCCAGAAAGGAAGAGTCTAACAATATTCTATGCTTTGGGATTCTGCTCACAGAGACACCTCTTGTGTGCGTGTGTGCTGAGGGACACCTGGCTCTAGGTTTGCCACATCCCAAAGTGGAGCAGAGAGTAAGGAACCCCTTCTACCCTCATGTCTGGCTGCAAAAACTCCCTCGCCTTTGTCCAGTGCTCTGTGGGGAGGAGAGGACGACTGGGTGGCCCTTGGGAGGAGTCAGTGTCCATCTGTCCTCCCCAAGGAGGGTCTCATCCTTCCCAGACCTTGTCAAAACAAAGGTCATAACAAGAAACAAAGAAGGTCCCTACATAATATACAGGGATCCAACAAGAGGATAGAACCCTTATAAACGTAAATGCATCTAATATAGGAGCACCTACATATATTTTTTAAAAACTCTTGGTGAAAAAAATAAAAAAATAAACTCTTGGTGAGCTTTAAGGGTGAGATCAACAACAATACAGTCAAAGTGGGGGACTTTAACACCCCACTGTCATCCATGGATAGATTTTTCAGACAAAATAATCAACAAGGAAACAGAGACCTTAAATGACACACTAGATCTGATGGATTTACGGAATATTTCATCCCAAAGCAGCAGAATATACATTGAACATAGAACAGTATCAAAGATAGAGCACATTTTAAGACACAAGACAGCCCTGCCCCCAGCTCTCACCACGCGAGCCGGGAACCCGTCACCCCGGCTGCTCGGGTCTCTGTGGAGCAGCGGCGGTGGCACGGAAGAATCCTGTTTCAGGTCGGTTTACTGCTATGCTCCACTGTTTTGGTGGAGGACTTTTATCCTGTTTACTGCTTGCAGAGCCTCCATTGAGCTTTCTTGCAAACAACACTAATATATTACTGGCATCTTCAATCTGGTATATTGGGGGGTGGGGGAGTTGGCCATGTGTCCTAGTTTCCCAGGGGTATTTTGTCCTGCCTGTTCAACTCTTGGCTGCAGGAATGAAGGCCGTGACCAGAACTTGGAAAATAGTAGATGGAGTCACACATGCTAACAGCCATTACAAAAATGGCTGGATAGTCATGATTGCTATTGGATGGGCCCGAGGTGCAGGTGGTAGCATTATCACAAATGTTGAGCTATTGGTAAAAGGAGGTTGGACACCACAAGCTGATGAGTGGATGAAGATGTCCTACCCTGCCAAGGTAACCCTGCTGGGCTCAATTATCTTCACACTAGAAGCCCGTTGCATGAAGATTTGCGCAATAGGCCTTCCTTCCCCTGGCAGCTGGCACTGGTTTTCCTCCAACACCCGGGACCCAGGCCTTTGGTCTGGCCGCAGCGAGACTTGGCTTCTCCTCTCCCCTCCGCAGTGAGGCTTGGCAGCGGAGGAGCCAAGCCTCTTCAGTCTTCAGACTTCAGTCTTCAGTCTTCACTCCGGCCGGAGCCTTCAGTCTTCGCTCCACACCTGCATATGCAAATTAACCTCCATCTTTGTTGGATTAATTTGCATGGTCGCTCTGATTGGCTGGTGGGCTTACCAGAGTGACACCAATTTGCATGTTCCTCTTTTATTAGTGTTGATAAATGAGTTACCAATGAGATGAAAGAAGAAATAAAAAAATTACCTGTAAACAAATAAAAGTGAACACACATCAACAGAAACTCTATGGGACACAGCAAAAGCAGTCCTAAGAGGAAAGTCCATAGCATTACCAGCCTTCCTCAAGAAGCAAGAAAAGCTCAAGTAAACAATCTAACCTTATACCTAAAGGAATTAGAGCAAGAAAACCAGAAAAATCCTAGAGTAAGTAGAGGGAAAAAAACAAAACAAAAGAAAAACAATACTTATTTGAAAAGTTAAACAAGATTGATGAACCTTTAACCAGACTCATCAAGAAACAAAGAGAGAGGACCCTGGTAAATAAAGTCAGAAATGAAATATCCAAAATATATAAAGTACTCATACAATTCAACAAAAGGAAGACCATCAATCCAATTTAAAAATGGGCAGAAGACCTGTATAGACATTTCTCCAAAGAGGACATACAGATGGCCAAGAGACATTATGAAGGAAAAAAAAAAATGCTCAAAATCACTAGTCATCAGAGAAATGCAAATTAAAACAACAATGAGATATCACCTTATATCTGTCAGAATGGCTGTCATCAAAAAATCAAGTGCTGGCGAGGATGTGAAAAAAGGGAATACTAGTTCACTGCTGGTAGGAATACATATTGGTGCAGCCACTATGGAAAACAGTATGGAGCCTCCTTAAATAATTAAAAATGGAACTTCCACTTGATGTAGTGATACCACTTCTGGGAATATATCCTAAAAATTCAAAACACCAATCAGAAAAACACCAATCATAGCAGCCCAAGTGCCCATCAGTAGATGAGTGGGTAAAAAAGCTGTGGAACATTTACACATGGAATACTATGTAGCTATAAAAAAGAGGGATCTCTTACCCTTTGGGACAGCATGGATAGACCTGGAAAATACTATACTAAGTGAAATAAGCCAATCTGAGAAGCACAAATATCACATGATTTCACTTATTTGTGGAATCTAATGATTAAAATGAATTGACCAACCAAATAAGACCCGAAGCAGGGAGGCATGGAACAGACTGACATACCTTGATGTGGGGTTGAAGGAACAACAAGAGATAAACCAAAGAACTTATATACTTACTAGAGGCCTGGTGCATGATATTCCTGCATGGGGGCAGGAGAGGGGAGCCCCTCAGCCTGACCTGCGCCCTCTGGCAGAATGGGACCCCTTGGGGGATATACGCCTGCCAGCTTAGGCCCGCTCCCCATGGACATCTCCTGAGGGGTCCTTAGCACTGCTGTGGAGGCAGAGGCAGAAGAGACTCCCGCCACAGCCACTGCACTAGCCAGCCACGAACCCAGCTTCTGGCTGAGCAGCACTTGCCCTGTGTGAGCACACTGATGACCAGGGGGCAGCTCCTGTGTTGAGCGTCTGCCCCCTGGTGGTCAATGCCTGTCATAGCGACTGGTCATTCAGCTGTTTGGTCTATTTGCATATCAGGGTTTTATTATATAGGATATGCAAAGCCCATGGACACAGGCAAAAGGGTAGTGAAATATTATGAACAACTATGCCAACAAATGGAACAACCTGGGCAAAATGAACAAATTCCAGAAACATACAATCTTCCAAAACTCAATCAGAAAACCTAATATAGACCAATAACAACTAATAAAATTGAAGCAGTAATGAAAAAAACTCCCAGTGAGTTTTGCCAAACATCCAAAGAAAAATGAACACCTATCCTCCTCAACCTACTACAATTGAGTCAGAGTTGATACAGGATGTGTTGAAGAAATGAGAGAAAGAGGAGATGAAGGTAAGCTAATCTCATCTCTACTTTCTAGGGACCTATACGTGGGTCACCATGAACACAGTGTGGATCATGTGGACCCATCTGGAGTTAAATGACCTTCCTTCCTGGTGCTTCCCTGGTTCACAAAGATGCTAGAGAAACTAATTCATTACACTGAGCTTTCATATGTAAAGAGCATGGTTGGTACAACATATTGGACCAATCTGAAAAGCACAGGAACATAGCTAAATCTGCACTTTTTTTTTCACTTTTTTAAATTTAAATCTATGGAGGTAACATCAGTTAATAACACTAAGTTTCACATGTGTACCTTTATATCATCTGTATATGCCATTGTGTGCTCACCAGTGAAAGTCTAGTTTCCTTCTGTCATTATATATTTGAACCCCTTTATCTTCTTCATGCTCCCTCTTTTCTTATCCATAAAATTAAACTACAGGAAACCTCCAGATCACTTCTTTCTGGAGAAAAAACAGACACTCACGAAGTGAATGAGTATCAGAGACTCTAAGTCACTCTGCAGATCTCCTGGAATGTCTGACTTCTGAGATGTGCTTTGTTTGGACTGAAATGCTGCCCGAGAAAGCATCCAGGGTGCTGAGCAGGAAAAAGCAAAAAAAAAAAAAATGAAGGACACTGTTCACAATTTGAACATCATTAGCACTTAGAGCAGCGGTTCTCAACCTGTAGGTCGCGACCCCTTTGGGGGGTCGAACGACCCTTTCACAGGGGTCGCCTAATACCATTGGAAAACACATATATAATTACATATTGTCTTTGTGATTAATCACTATGCTTTAATTATGTTCAATTTGCAACAATGAAAATACATCCTACATATCAGATATTTACATTACGATTCATAACCGTAGCAAAATTACAGTTAAGAAGTAGCAATGAAAATAATTTTATGGTTGGGGTCACCACAACATGAGGAACTGTATTAAAGGGTCACGGCATTAGGAAGGTTGAGAACCATTGACTTAGAGTGTGGACTCAGGAAGGAGACATGACTTGGATTGGTGAACACACAATACAACATACAGCTGATATAGTATAGCATTGTGCATCTGGAACCTATATAAATGTGTTAACCAATATCACTCCAATAAATGCAATAAAAAATAAATAAAAAGAATGTGGTTTCAGGAGATGGCCTCAATATGGCTTCCTTGTCTGGAGATTCTTAGGAAAATGTGGATGGGTTGGGATGCTTTGAAGGCTGCCCAACTCTGAAACAGGAATAGGGAGGAAATTTGTCTTGGAAATGACTTGGTTTCCTCTTTGCCTCTAAATACACTCTTCATTTTTTTCACCTGTTGTAAGTATGGCAATGGTGATCAACTTGTGTTACACCCATGTTACCATGACTTGGACAATCACAGCAGCACGCTGGGATATGAACCCAGCACTCTGGACTCTACATCAACCATACTCGTCCTTCTGTGAGTGATGAGGCCATATTCTCTCTCTCTCTCTTCCCCCCCCCCCCCCCACAAAGGAGGCTAGGGTTGCCCTATTCCTTATATACAAGTGGATAACTTTAAGAGATGTGTCCAGCCCTTGGCTGACAACCCCCCTTAACCCCCATTTGACCAAGAAGGTCCCAGAAAGCCAGGTGGTCTGTTGTGATTCTTCCCCCAAGACCATGTTTACTTGAGCAGGAAGAGACACCTGCCCACTGGGCCAGTGAGACTTTGTCATTGGAAGGTAGGAGTATGACTCTGTGAGCTCTGGTCTGCAAATGGCCCTGCTTCCTGCTAATCTCTGCAAAGCCTATTGCTCCAAACTCACCTAAAATCCACGAGATGCTTTTTTGTGCTCTCACTAAATTCTTTCTGCAGTTTTATTGTTGTTTGTTTGCTTGCTTGTCTATAATCCTTTAAGCTAGTCAAATTGGATTCTGTGACTTCAAACCAAATATAACTTACTTAGAACAGTGTCCCATCACCCTAGCTGGTTTGCCTCAATGGACAGAGCATCAGCCTATGAACTGAAAGGTCCTGGGTTGGATTCTGGTCAAGGGCATATGCCCTGGCTGCGGGCTCGATCCCATGCAGGAGGCAGCCGATCAATGAGTCTCTCTCATCATTGGTGTTTCTCTCTCTCTCTCCCTCTCCCTTCCTCTCTGAAATTAATAAAAATATATTTAAAAAACAACAACAGTGTCCCATCATAAGAGCACAGGTGAAAGAAGTGATTCCAGGTAGTGCACCCCACTTTCAGTGCCCAGTGAGCGACAAGGCACAGTACAAGCAGCAAGTTGTAAAGTTTCCCTCTTGTCTACACACTCATCCAGACCCCAGCCCGCCACCTAGGACCGCATTCTGAATGGGTCGTGGATTCTTACTCTAGAACTCCAGAGTCTATTCATAACTATTTGAATGGATCCTTTTCCCCCGGGGCCCTCCATGCAGGCCTTTCTCCGCCCATTACAAGATGCCTTTATGTGGCCTGGGTCTCTCTGCTTTAAGGCTCCTGATGCCACAGGAACAAGTCTGGCAGCTTTCTGAGAGATTCTGGGCCTTCCCTCTCTCTGCTGCCTGCACACCCCTCACAGCTACTTCCTGCCTTTCTCACTGACAGCTCCTCACACCTTGCCTTCACTGTCCCCCCAGGGAACACACCTGATACATCCTGCCACAGTGATAACCATCACAGAGAAAACAAAGTGCTGCTACCCCACCACGCTCCCAGTTTCCAGGGGTTTCCAGTGAGCTTGTTACAATGGGACCCAGAGCAGCCCCGCCATCCTACAGGCATCCATTCAGTTGCTGGTAAGCCTCTCAAATTTCTTTTCCTACTGCAATGTCTCATGTCTGGGGACCAGCCCGGAAGCAAATTGCTTTTGGAGGGTTTCACAAAGACCCATTCAGCCCTGCTGGGGAGTTATCTAAACGTGGGGAGGGGAGGCATTTGCCACTGTGAGGCAGGGATGTTTTTCATATGCTCGAGCAACTCAAAAAGGACTTTGTTTTCAAACTTGGCATGTGCGGGTCCTGGAAGAAGCCCAGGGCCCTTGACAAGTTTGAAGGAATGCGTTTGGAAATCACAAAGTAAAATGAGGGCAGCTCCCCCACCTTTGCCCCCACCTAGGCCATTGTCCTTAAAGGGAGAGGGAGTTCTCAATAAATCAGTGCGCTGTACTGGCAGGTCCGCTCTGACGAAGGCACCCACTGGTTAATCTTCCACTGGTACACTTTCCTTTGATCTGAGACACAGTGCTTCTCTGTCCATTAACCACAGTTGTGACCATGATTCCTCCAATTAAGTAAAACAGAATCCAGTGAAACCTGTGAAATGCTGCTGCCTGAGCAAGTAATTCAACACCTTCCCCAACACACACACTAGACTAGAAAGCACAACCTTGCAAAGATGACTGCATCCCCTATGAGCAGAGACATTTCGGCAGGGGACGGGGGACTCGGCCAGGACAGTTACATCGCACAGGGGAGTCCTCTGGGACACCCGGGTCGCTGTGCAGAAGGGGAAGAGGTTATCTCCAAAGCCCTGGTCACACCTCGCGTGCCCACAACGACTGGGCCATGCTCCTCACAGCCTTCTGGTATCTGGCATCTCTCCTCAGCAGTTCCCAGCAGTTCACGTCTGGCCCTCGGAGAACATCGCTTGTCTGCGTTGTTACAAGCGTTTCCTAACTAGTCTTCCTGACTCAGGCTGGTCCTTTCTCCCTTTCCCTGGATACAGTCAGAATGAATTCCCTAGGACAAACCAGGAATGTTCTTCTAGTGACAGAATCCCTCAACAGACTTATGACCTTGGGGTTTATCCTTCCCAAGGACAAGTCCCTCCATTGTCTGAGCAGGGTCTTCTACAGACCTTTGGGGTCTCCTTTCTCACCCATCACTTACACTGCAAACAAACAATCACCTGCCTTTTCCCTGAAAGTTCCCGGGTTTAGCTCTTTCTCGGGTACTTTTGTCTTCTGAGATTCTCCCACCAGTGCAACACACACCAGCAAACCACACTGACCCCTGGCACCCCAAGGACACACAAGAGGAAGAACCACCTGGCAGTGTGAGGCCTTCTGGGAAAGGGCCTGTTGCCTGAAGCCAGGGGCCGCCCCGGGTGGAGTAGGGGTGGGGGTCGGGTGTAGCTTCTACACTGACATTTTCAGGTTCTGCTGCTGCTCCTGCAGGCTCCCGGCTCCTGCTGGCTCCCGGCTCCTGCCCTTTGTCCCAACCGAGTCCAGCGGGAAACTGGGAACCACGTGGTGGCGGTGTGAGCAGAGAGGCCTATAAACACCGATTCCAGCCGGTGGAGAACATCAGGGCTGTCCCAGGGCCTGTACAAACAGACGAAATGGCACAGGATACAGTCACCTGAGCAGGTCTCCTTTCTTCCCACGATTTCTCTACTCCTGCTCCTTTGCCCAAGCTGCTCTCTGACTTTCACCGTCCCTCGAGCCAACAGTCTCTCTTTCTCTTGGATTCTCGCGCACCTTTGTGGCGTTTCTTCCTCGTGCGCCCAACGGCACCGCCCAGAAAACGAACTAGATGCCTTGGACAGGACCTGCGCCCTGACCCATCCTACACCTAGGCTGGCGCTCCAGCACACCCTGCCCTCCGAGCCCCCGCGCTCTGCGCGCCTCTAGCGGCCGTGCCTGGAAGTGCAGGGGCGGACTCACTGGGGAACAGCTGTGCCATGAGGTCAGTGAGGACCTTAGCCTCCCAAGGCCATTTGCTCCCAGTGCTGGTCGTGGCGTTGCTCCTGGTTGACTCCCTCGGCGAGGATTTCAGTTTTCACCCGGAGTGGGGGTTTGACTCATCTGAAATCACCATCCCCAGAAAGCTGAGCTTCCGGGGAGGGAAGCAGGGCGCGCCCCAACGCGTGTCCTACCTCCTGCAGGTGCAAGGCAAGAAGCATGTCGTCCACCTGTGGCCCAAGAGGTTTCTGTTGCCCCGGCACCTGCAGGTTTTCTCCTACACAGAACAGGGGGAGCTCGTGGAGGATCACCCTTACATACCCAGGGACTGCAACTATGTGGGCGTGGTGGAAGGAGCTGAGGATTCTGAAGCTACTCTCAGTACATGCGCGGGGGGTCTCCGAGGCATATTGAAAATTGATGCCAAATATTACCAAATCGAGCCTCTCAAGGCCTCTCCTAGTTTTGAACATGCCCTATATCTCCTGAAGAACGAGGGGGGATTTCAGGATCAGCTCTGTGGCGTCACTGGTGATGAAACAGAAGAGCAGATGGCCCAGCCTGGCATCATGGCTCGGTATAGTGACTATACTGGACCCTCGATGCACCAAAAATATTACGAATTAGGCCTGGTCTTTGATCATGAGAGATTTGAGTTTTCAAATTCCAATATTACCGATATCACCAATGATGCCATTCTTCTGACTTCAATTGTCGATACTTACCTTCAGGAAGTCCGTACGAGAGTACAACTGCGTGCACTTGAAGTATGGTCAGATCAAGACAGAGTGAATATTAATTTTCCAACATTACAGCAAGCTCTAGGCCAATTTTTGATATACCAAAGAAATATACTAAGTCGACAGTTTAAAGTAGATTGGTCCCAACTATTCATAAAAAGGCATTACATCGATGCTCTCGCATGGTCATGGGGAATAGTGTGCACGGAGAGGTATGCAGGATCTGTATCTGTTTTTCTAGACACAAGCATCCTTGGACCTGCCACTTGGACCGCTCACAATCTGGGCCATAGTTTGGGAATGAGCCACGATGGGCCATTGTGCAGGTGTCGGGGTCGGCGGAGTTGCATCATGGGCACTGGACGACATGGGTTTAGCAATTGCAGTATTATTCAGTTTTTCAACCATGTTCATAAAGAAGCAAACTGTCTAAATAATATCCCAGGAGAAGATTATGTGGTTAAGAGATGCGGAAACAAAATTGTGGAAGACGAGGAGGAATGTGACTGTGGTTCCTTAGAGGACTGTGAAGACGACCTTTGCTGTGAACCAGGTTGCAGACTCAGACCGGGTGCCAACTGTAGCTTTGGACTTTGCTGCTCTGAATGTCAGTTTCGTCCATCGGGATATATGTGTCGGAAGGAAGAAACCGAATGCGACCTTGCAGAGTACTGCGACGGCATCTCCAATTTCTGCCCAAATGACACGTATAAGCAGGATGGCACCCCGTGCAAATACAGCGCCCGTTGTTTCCAGAAGGGGTGTCATTCTGCATATATGCAGTGCCAAAGCATTTTTGGGTCTGATGCCAGGGAGGCTCCCACTCAGTGCTTTGAGACAGTTAATTCAATAGGGGATCAATATGGGAACTGTGGGATGATAGGAGCTGGTAACTATAAAAAGTGTACTAAGAGGAACACGGTATGTGGCAGGGTGCAGTGTATAAATGTCGAAACCCTCCCTGACATGCCAGAGCACACGAGCATCGTTTCTACTTATCTGGAGGATGAAAATCTGATATGCTGGGGCCTCGGCTACCGTCTGTCCTTGGTACCCATGGGGATCCCTGACCGGGGTGTGGTCTATGATGGCACCTCCTGTGGCACGGACCGGATATGTGTGAACACAACTTGTTACAATATTTCAATCCTGCGCTTTGACTGTATGCCTGAGAAGTGCAACCACAGAGGCTATTGCAACAATAACAGGAACTGCCACTGCATGTACGGCTGGGCTCCTCCGCTCTGTGAGGAGCAAGGGTACGGAGGGAGCATTGACAGCGGGCCGCCGGGAGAGCTGCCAGAGGAGGTGTCCGCCACTGTCCAGGTCGTGTCCCTTATGTTATCTCGCATTGCTTTATTAGTCATCTCCGTGGTTATCGTGTTTTTCAGGCGATTGATAGGAAGCTATTTAAGTCCCAAAGAGATAAAACCCGAAGAAGTAAAACCCGAAGAAGTAAAATCCAAAGAAGTAAAACCAGAAGAAGTAAAACCGGAAGAGATAAAACCCAAAGAGATAAAACCCAAAGAAAAACAAGTACCACCAGTTGACACTGAAGTGACAAAACCCCCAGCAAAACAATCTAAAAAAAAGAAGAAGAAGGGACCCAAGTAGCCCTCAGTCATTCAGTAACACAGGATCATATCTTGAACAAGTTTATCATTTATCCAAATGGCTCTTCATTCTTCTCCAAACTCTTTCCCACTTAATTTACCTTCATGGTTGATCAGCAAAATAAATGATATTCTTGTTTGGGAGACAAACCAGTGCACTTTGCTTGCCTAGTGTTCGCTTGGCCTAGTTGGTGAGCAAGGTTGGCGTGTCCTGAGAGGAATGCCCTGGTGGCTTTTCTGAACTCAAGCTCTGGATGGTGTGAGTCTCATGCAGTTACAGTGGCTGTCAGAGCAGAGTCCTGCCTCTCAGAATCCCAGCAAACAGAGGGATCCTTTGCCTTTCCCTCGGCCTCCCTCGGTGTGGTCAGTGAGAATGCCTGTGTCTGGCCCCTGCTGAACAATCAATGGTGACCTCCACGGTTTACAAATGGGAAGCAATGCTCTACCAGGAGTGTCCCTCAGATAAGCTTTTCGCCCTGGATAGTCACTGTCTGGGCCACTCCAGCTCTATGGACGTGTGGTCTCTGACTCAGGTTTGGGTGACCTCATTGGGTTAGGACACTAATCTCTTGCTTTGCATCTCAGTCCATAAATGACGACACCCCCCTGGCAGTATTCAGAGGACAAGGATCTAACAATATTCTGTGCTTTGGGATTCTGCTCACAGCGACACCTCGCTCTAGGTTTGCCACTCCCCCTAAGTGGAGCAGAGGAGAGTGAGGAACGCCTTCCACGTCCCAGGACCCCCCTGTCTGCCTCCAAAGATTCTTTCCCCCTTTTCTGGTGATTTGGCGGGGGGGGGGGGGGCGCGCTGAGTAGGCCTTGGGAGGAGTGACTGGGAGGAGTCACTGTCCACCTCTCCTGACCAGGAAGGGTCTCATCCTTCAAAGACCTTGTCAACCCAGGTGTTTTCAGTCTTGTTCTAGGCCAGTGGTCGGCAAACTCATTGGTCAACAGAGCCAAATATCAACAGTACAACGATTGAAATTTCTTTTGAGAGCCAAATTTTTTAAACTTAAACTGTATAGGTAGGTACATTGTTATTAACTTAATTAGGGTGCTCCTCAGGCTTAGGAAGAGCCACACTCAAGGGGCCAAAGATCCGCATGTGGCTTGCGAGCCGCAGTTTGCCAACCACTGTTCTAGGCTCAGCCTCCCTGCTGTTCTCTCACCAGGCCCCAGGGCACCTCCTTCTCCAAGGACCACAAGTCCACTGTCCACCACCCCAGCATCCTCTCATCTTAGCTACATCATTCTTCTCATTACAGAAGAGGGTGAGCATGCTTCATAATAGTGGTCCCCGTGGACTGTTTAGGGGCTATTTTTACTCAGAGGACATCAAAATAACCTGTATTTTGTGGTGGTCAAGCTTGGTCATCACTAGAAAAGGTTCTGAAAGAAAGCAAGGACATTGATTTACAGCCCCAATGCTGACAATGATGGCTGCTGTGTATTGAGAGTTCACTGCATGCCAGGCAATGTCTCACGTGTATTACTGTCATACTCCTGACAATAACTCTGTGAGAAGGTGGTGTTTTCCTGTTTTCTGAAAGAGAAATTGAGGCACAACAAGGTTAAACCACCTGCTCACAATTATGTAACTAATAAGTAATGACATTGTTCAAGGAAACATTATATAGACATTATGAAAGTGAATTTAGAGAGAGGACAAAAAATTTTACTTGTGATAAAATGCACATAATATTTACCATCTTTCCCATTTTTCTACTGTATTCAGAAATAATTGACAAATGTAATTGAAGAGATATAAAGTGTACAATGTGGTGGTTTGATACACATATACATTGTGGAATGACTACCAAGATCAAAATAATGAAAAGATCTGTCACCTCACATAGTTAATTTGGGGCGGGGGGGGGGGGGCGGGGGGCACTGATGAGGATGCTTAATGAGAACTCTAAGCAAATTTCCGGTACATTATTAACAAGTATCATCACCATGCTGTACATTAGATTCTCAGAACTATATTACTTGTAAGTGATAGTTTGTACCCTTTGACCTCCATCTACCCATTTTCCCCTTCCCCCCCAGCCTCTGGCAACCACCATTCTATTCTCTGTTTCTATGAAATGAATGTGTGTTTTTTACATTCTACATATAAGTAATACCACATAGACTCTGTGAATCTCCGTCTGCCTTCTTTCAGTTAGCATAATGCCCTCCAGGTTCTTCCATGTTGTTGCAAATGGCAGGGTTTCCTTTTTAC